GAGCAAAAATCTTACACTTATTTTCAGTGGCCTAATTACATAAAAATGAAGATTACTTCTTCCCCTACAATGTCTCCCTTTCAAAACACACACACACACACACACACACACACTTAAAAAAAGAAATTTCCTTGAAAGCCTTCAGAAAGAAGTAGTAAGAGCTTATATGAACAATACTAATAACTTAGGCCTGAAAAATTCAGGGAAAGAGAAAAAGGAAAATAAGACCTAGATTAAGACTCAAGACCTGTTATCTCTATATTTAAAAAAACAGACCATAGCACTAAGTAAAGAACTTAAAACTCATAGCTCATTTGATTGACAAAATTTAAATATCCAAATTGTATTTTCCCAAGATGATGGAAAGCTCCCAAATGAACCTGGACCCTGGTGACCTTATCTTGATTTCTTTTAACTTCTGGTCAAAGTGATTATGATACACTCTCCTTCATGAAGTAGATGGTCCCCTTTACCCTTCTCAGCCCCTTTCCCAAGTAGTTATTGTACAAATTTCCCCTTCTCTGAAGTGGTCCACTAGGCAGCTCTCAGGAAGCATTCCAGGAGTCAGAGACAAGAATGAATGAATGAATGAATGAATGAATGAGTGAAATAAAAAGCATTTACTAATTACTTACTATGTTGAAACAGGAGTATGTCCATGAGAATATAAGCTCCTAGGGCTATTTGAAGGTGGGCCCTCTCTACTAAGAGAAGGAGGTAAGGATATTCTAGGCATTGCACATAGCACTATCAATCCCTGTGAAACAAGGAATAAGCCTTTCCCCAAAGTCTAGTCAGTGAATAAACATTTAAGGACCTATGTGCCAGGCACTGTGCTAAGCAACTTCAGCTTTGTATATAAAAAGCACTTAATAAATTTTTTTTAATTCATTCATTCATTCACACATATATATGTATACAGGTGTATATATATGTGTATGTGCATATACTATATGCATATATAATGTGTATATATATGTACTACAGAGTTATTGCATCTTCCCTCCATTTATTTTATCAGTTCATTTTATTGGATCAGCACACTCAGCTACAACATGGAAACCAGATTATGACAGACACAATTGCTTACTTGGTAACAGCCTATGATGTTAAATAAACAGCAATGTCAGAGTCAGGAGGGCAGAAAGCTCTGATTCATCCATTATTATCAAAGCAAAGAGAAATACAAAATACCTTTGTTTATGACTTCTTCCTCATAGGTTTTTACTATTGAATGAAAGTACTGCCCTTTCCATGCTCTCTCACTTTTTAAGTTTCCAGTGACTGAATGCAATTATCATCCCCAATACACACACACACACACACACACACACACAGAGGTGGTGGTATTTTCAAACTTGGCTCCACAAATAAGACATGGCATTTTAAAAAAATGGCCAATTCATGGGTCATTTGTCTGATTGGGGACAATTTAGAAAGTATTCTGTAAGCAAGCTAAAATAATGCTCACCAAACACTATTTGAGCACCTTAGACACCAAGTAAGGCATGGAAGAGACCAAATAAGCTGGCAGAGACTAGGAAATTTGGTCAAGATCACAGAGTATGACTTTCAATCCAGTGCCTTATCCATCAGGAACCTAGCTGAAGAGATACTTGTCCTGGGCTGAGTAAGCTACAATTACTTTTGTTTATGAGTAGTTCACTGTCGTTGCTATGTTGTGAGTAACTCACTGTGGATAATAAATTGCTAACTTACTTACCTTGCCTCCAAAGCAGATGCCACATAGGCAGGGAAGGAGGGGACAAGAGAAAGGGAGATGTCAAAACAAGATGCGAAGACTGAATTGTGTACACAGATAGTGTTCATGGGGGAAAGGAGGGGAGGGTGGAGAAGGGAAAATCACCAGGATATACACAGCAGAAAACTGTATCAACAGAGCTTATAGCCTTCAAAGATGCAAAGTAATAAGGATTTGCAGCTGGTGATCTGACTAGCTACATGTCTCCTCACTAATAATGCAAGATATTAGTGGGTGTCTCCTTTAGAAGAAGACTTTTGAGACCAAGCAGATCAGAAACATCCTTTTTTGTTGTGCGATATTTTTCCCTCTACCTTCTGTTCATGTGAGTAAATGTGGCTCCTTCGAAAGCTGCCCATTCTAGTCTAGGAAGACATGTTTCTCTGTTGACTAGTAAGCTAACGATCCCACAGAAGAGCCCAGTTTATCTGGATGTCTATAAATAATTGGAAGAAATTGTTCAGCCAGCCTCAGTTGCTGCTGCCAATGAGACAGTGCCAGACTAGGTTGTTTTGTTTTTTGTTTCAATGTGGAGCTCTAATACACCTATTTCTGCCACTCTCACCCCTTTACGTGGCCCTGTATGTTATCACTGCAAAATCCTGGGAAGTTAATACCTTTTCATTTGCTGTCCAATCACACTTATCCTGGACTGACATTCAGTCCTGGCAATCTTCTTAGTCCTTCCTTGCCCAGTCAGGAGGCTGCAAAGTTATAACTTAAGCTAAGGTGGCTCTCTTGGGCTCAATTCTGATGCTAATCAAGGCAATGGTGACTTTTTTACTGCAGTAGCATTTGAGAAAAGAACCAAGGGTCTCTTGTCTCTAGGAATACTTCAGGAAAATAATGTGCCTTCAAGTTCAGGGAACTGAGAATTTTCCCTTGATGGTTACTACAATGTAAAAATAGCATCTATTAAAACAACCACACCCTGATTAGCTTAGGACTCTGCATAGCCACTGTGATGGTTCCCTGTGTTGGTGGGACTATAAACCTTTGTAAATGTGTTTGCAAAGCAATATGGCAATCTTCAGTAAGTCACAAAACTTATCATATGAAGTAAAAAGGGAGGTTAGGAGAACCTGTTTGTAAAAAGTACATTCATAGCAGTTCTATTTGTAATAGAAAGAAAGAAAAAGGAAGGAAGGAAGGAAGGAAGGAAGGAAGGAAGGAAGGAAGGAAG